TTATCCCAGAGAAATAACCAACACTTTTCTTCTAAATTGTAGATTCCTTCTAAAGTGCAAGGCTGCAGTATCTTCAGTTCTGTTTGGAGAAGCTTATAGTGGGAATCCAGAATGTTATTTATATGCAGAACACAACTACCCCAGGCTCTTTCAGAAAAGGTTAAAATGTTCATTTGTTTAGTTGAATTTATGTTATCCACCTGCCTCTATCATTGTGCCCAATCATGTTTTTAAAACAACTGTTCTGTTTTTCAGTGAAAATGTTACTTTAAAATACTACTCTATATATGTGAACCAGGACTGCCTGTTTCTACCAGCATTTCTCAAAGGGCTGAACTTCAAAGAAATCTGGTTGCTTAGCCTTTCATATGCTTGCTGTGTTCTTTAGCCCTTGAAAAATGTATATACAACTATCTAATCAAGAACTATTGATTATGTCATTTCTTTATACGTAATATTTTGTGATGTTTTCCATTTGTAGGCCATACAGAAACATAGGGCCTTAGATGTGAATGCTTTGCCAATAGACCTTTTTGAAGAACTGAAATACACTGAAAAATAGATTTTTTGCAATATTACTATAATCTGGCTCTAGGTTTTTAAAAAATTTATCTTTATTGTTGAAAGTATTACAGATATCCCCCTTTTTAAAACTGTGCTGAAAGTCATGCCATTCACAGTGGCCAGGTCCTCTGCAGCCTTCCCCGACCTCCTCTGTACGCTAACTCAGCGTGTTCGTGCGTCTCTGCCATGGGCAGCCACTGGGCATTATCCCGCACAATGCTTCTGATCCTTATTTTTCTCAGCTTGCTTTTTACTTTACACGTCTGAGTCTATAATCCTGTTTGCAGTTTGAAACTCTATTTTACAGTGAACAGCAATTAAAATTTTCTTACAGATCTTTTTTTCTGAGGCAAGTCCAACTGATAGCATTAAATATGAAGTTGGCAGCTTGTTTTCTTGGTGACTAGTCCTGTAGGCGTTCTAACAACTCACCTAGCTGAGGCATTTAAATGTTTGGGCTTACCTGAAGGACATTGTTTTCCTTTTTTCTGGCTTCTCGCTTTCTCCAGAAATCCCCTTGGGCACATTCTTACTGACACTGAGCTCCGTGGTCCTCTTTAGAATTCATTCAATTTTTCCAATCTTAATCTGGGACTTGAGTATCATTTTTGACTGATATTCTCTCCTCTTACCTCTAAATGAAAACATCTGGACTTCCGTAATCATTGTCATCTCTTCAGCCACACGACAGCTTCCTTTTGCACGCACTGTGGCAAGATCCAAATCCCTTCTCAGCCAGTAACTGCCGCGTTCCTACAGGGCTGATACAGTTTCTTCTATGAAGGGGATTGTTCCATGTGCTTCTCAGATGTTCTAGTGTTACAGACTCCTTCCAGTGTCAGGACAGGGTGGGACAAGGGCAATTCAATCCACGCTAAAAGGCATTCATGACTTTCTCAGTGAAGTGATAAGAAGGGGGCAAAGCAAAGACATTTCTGGACTAATCTCAGCTGCAAGCAGAGCTTCCTAAGTTTTCTTCTGAAATATCCCCCAGAAAAAAGGTACTTGAGCAACCCCCCAACATTTCATCCCCCTCCCACCCAGGGGACAGCATAAGTTGCCCACTGCAAGCCCAGGAGATATATTTTTTTTAAGTCTTCCCAAGTTTTGCCATTAAGCCACAGTATGATTTAGTTTAAATCCCTGTTGATTTAGTATAAGAATAAGAATTAAATTACTTGACAGCAGGTGAAAATCAAACGGTGGGCCTTATTTATACTGTGACCTTCCTTTCACATACCTTGGTTTACTACTGTGGAAATCTACAAAACTTAAAGAGAATTTATGAAGTTCTGATGGGCGAGAAAACTCTTTAGTGAAATCTGGCTAGAAATGGCACTTTGTAGAACTGGTTAGTTACAAACTGTCTTTTCACAGGTGAACAGAAACAAAAGAGTAATCAGTAATTGTTATTGGAATGTTTGCCAAATTGGAAAAGAATCCTGTTTTTACTGGTCATTATGTCTACCTCTTCAGAATCAGGAGAAGAGTCTATGATTTCTATGAACAAAAAGAATGAGACACTCAGAAATGTGCAACCCTGGCCTAACACAAGAAGCAAGGAAGTACAAGTAATACAAACATAATACGAACAAAACACAACAGACAAGCAGAATTTACGTTGCTTTTTTGTTTTGTTTTGCTACAAGCATGTTAGAACTCACTAGCTGTAACCTTAAAATGGAACAGTCTGTTTCTACATCGCTACCCATGAACAGTCACAAATTGTACACTATTAGTAACTCCTATGCTAGACTCAAGAATTAGCAGGCATTTTCAGCCAGTGTATTTTATTAACTCACTATGATGTCTAAGAAATTACTCAGTCCTCTTGCATTAACTATGATTACAACAATGTTTTGGTAACAATTCCATCGAGGTCTCAAAGATTTTTATTGCAGGAGGTCAAATTGATTTAAATACAGCCGCTGTTCTAAACAACTAAGCTAGAAATGTCAGGGAGAGGCCAGCTGGGCTGCTTAGGCTGGCCTCAGGGTGACATTGCCTCACTCAAGTCACATTTTCCAGGGCTCATTCCTTGGCTTTGCAAGTCCAGAAACTTTATTTTGTCAGGGTGCCCAGAGTTGATCTTACTCAAGGGACAAAGCTTTTGCTAAACCAATGCACCAGATGCCAGTGCATAAACTAGAATACTAATTTGCTCATTTATAATGAGAAAGGAACTATCAAAGGGCCTAGAAACATATGATATGTGGCCGACAACTTCTTTTCTCTGTAGGAAAGCCTACATAGGAAACCTGTTATTATTTTTTCAGTTCAGCAAACACTTATTAAGCACCTAAGGTACAGGTCATTTTGATTCCAAAGGTGTTTTGCATATATAAACACTTTAATAAGAACTATGGGAACACTGAATTGTCATAGAGGCATTATTTTCCAAAGCAAACTACAGTAAGCCAATTTGTGCTCTGATCAACTTTCTAAAGTTTTCTCTTCTGATTGGCAGGTTCAGCCTTTTAGGAGAGACTAATACCTATCTGCCTGATGGAATCAGCCATGAAGACCACCCAAAAGCCACATTCAACACAAAGCCACCTTCAAAATATGGTTCTTAACCCAGAGCTTCAAAGGAATCTGATAACCTGATGAACAGGTGTGCAAACAATTGTGTATAATGAACATGCATTTTTTTACCACTAGATTCTCCTATCAGTGAGTGACCTGAAATCTTGGAGTCTCCCAGAGCCAGCAGGGGCATCTAGGCTACAGTATCATCCACTACTCAATACTAGGACACTTCTAGGGCAAATTCTTCTTTAAAACCTTATAGCGAGTTTAACTGAACATGTCCCACTTCCTGATATTCTTACTGCAGGCCCAGCCCTAACTTCTCCTGGTCATCTAGGTTTGCCCCTGCTTTGCTTCCTGCCAGAACTTTCTGCTTTACCTTCTGGAGCTCCATTCGGAGTGGAGGGTGAGAGCCAGACCATCACTCCACCCTCCCGAAGAAGTTCTGTCCTGAGATCCGAGAGCGACTGCACTCCCTCCTCTCCTGTTGCTGCCACTTAGCAACCTCCCACTGCCCTCCACCTCACCTCACCTCACCCCGCGTACGCTGCGCACTTTTTCTCTCTGCCTCAGCATGTCCATGGTCCTACATGATGCCAAAGTGGCTCAAGCCTTCTCACAGTCCTCCGTCTCTGACATGGACGTCTCCTCCCTCATGTTTTCTGTCACAGAAAAAGGAAGCATCCAATAGGGAACTCCCCTCATTTCCTGCTGCTAAACCAACAAATTTATATGCAGACACATGCACGCTCTTCTTTTCCTTCAGCCACAGTGCGATAAATATTCCTAATCTTATCCCCTGGGCACCCCTCTGGCGGTGCTGTGTGCGTCCCTTTTGACACTGGAGGGACTGCCCTCCATCTATTTTCCCTTTCTTCTCCTGTTGTCTTCAACACTGAGCTCTTTACTGGTTTTTACTATCAGCATTTAAACATGTCCAAGACTCTAGCTACTATTATTTCTTCCCCATCTGGCTGAAAGCAACTTTTTTTTTTTTTAAAGAAAATATCTTTTTAGTTGAGTTACTTAATTCTTTCACTTGTCAGGATGTGTATGCTTGTCTGTAACAAAATTTCTTGTGTTTTAAACAGACTTTAAGTGCTACAGATATGCTCGTCTGAACATTTATATGACTTCTAGATTCAAATATACAAGTTCTTACTGTTCATCATTGTTTTTTCTTTAAAACTGTAAATTATGAAACATAAAAAAGTACAAAACCTAAATGTATAGTTTAATGAATAATTATATGACAAACACCCATTTAACCACCATTCTGATTAAGAAACTACCACCTACCAATGTGTCCCTTCTGGATCATTACCTTCTCACCCTTCTAGAGGAGACCACCATTCTGAATTTTATGGTAATAATTTCCCAGCTTTTCTCTATGAGTTTATTTTTTTGCCCATCCTGGCCCACTCTTTTCCCTTCTCCACCCGGTTCTATATATTGGGAAGGTAGGCTGTATGAATTATATCAACAGGTTCCTTCTCCTTTCTGGCTTCTGGTAGCATTTAGTCAACAGGGAGACCAGAGGGAGCAAAATGAAACAGGATATTTCCCTCTCCTGGTGTCTCCCCTACAGAGTCTCTCCAAGGGCGAGCTGGGCTGGTTTTGTCACCAACTATATTCGTCAAGGTTAGCCAGAGAAACAGAACCACAGTGTTTTTCTGGGTAACCCTGATGAATATATAAATATGAGAAAGAGTACATTTTAAGGTTTGTGGTGAAGCAACAGCTTTGAGTGACCCAATGACTTGGGGCTGGAATCATCTTGAGGCATCTTCAATTCCACATGATGAATGATGCTTGCATTTGGGTGGGATTTCAGCTGGGGGACAACCAGATCACCCACGCATCCTCTCCCTGTGCTTTCCTCGCAGCGTAGAAGTCTTAGGGTAGCTGGACTTCCTGCATTATGGTTCGGGGGTACAGAAGGGAGTCACTGACGAAAGAAGAAGCGGCACCACCTTTTTGAATGTAGTCTTCGAATGCACCCAGCATCACTTGAGCTGCATTCTCTCTGTTTCAGGTGAGTGGCAAGCCTGCTCAGATTAAAGGAAAGAAGAAATAGACCTCGTTTCTTGGTGGGAGAAATGCCAAGGCCACACTGTAGAAGAGCATGTGGGATGGGAGATACTGTTACAGCACCTTTGGAAAAGGTGGTCTGGCATATATGTTCTTGGATAGAACAACTTAATATCACTGAATATCAATTCTTTGATCAGTTAATGTGTAAGTTTAATGTACAGAAAATCTCCACCCCCAACTTACATGTAATTCTTGCCCAGTATTTTAACTTTCTGTTTTTACTGTTAAACTTAATCCTTGTTATTATTTTAAAGGTCAATGTTTGGTCAGATTTATGCATGTGTTAAATCTCTTTTATTAACTTTACTTATCATACATTCATCCTACCTTCAACTAAATTGTCATTCAAAAATAAAAATGAGTAGGCTCTAGCTTTGGTTGGTGCTTTGGTAAATTCTTCTGATTTTTGGCTGAAAAAAAACCAAAATACCTTTATTTTACTTTAATTCTTGAATGATAATTTAGCTGACTATAGAATTCCAAGATTAGTTAATGTTTGTTTTTGATGGTAAATATTTTTATTAAAAAATGCTTTTGTGTCAAAACACCATCAGGCTCAAAAGCAGTAGGATCAGAATGACAAGACCAAACCCTCTATTGCCCCAGTATATTAGACAAGTGACTTGATAAGGCACATTCCTGCTAGCAAGGAGCTTATTGTCTCTTTAACTGTAAAGCAGAAATATTAAACAAAAATGAACAACATTCTTTATTATTATTGAGTGTAAAGATATACTTTACATACAAATTTTTATATTATGTATTTTATATTATATATATATCAAACAAAACAAGTATTGTTGAAAGTTTTGATGATGAACTCAGAGTTTCTGCTCAGGTAAGCTTGAGAAAGGGAGACATTGCCCTCTTTTCTATTTGCTGAAAGAAATACTAGAATTTTAAAAATTATTTAAATGATTAAAGGAATAAGGAAGGAAGGAAAGACTTAATTTACCTTCCTGATGTAGGTAGAGGATCTGCCTGAGACCATCTGAGACTGGCGTGTTGAGCAGCTACTGTGGGAAGGAATTGAGTCCTCTCTTGATTCTGGAGACTTCATAGCCTAAAGGAATCTAGTGGGCCACAGAAGAATTCGTTACTAATCAGTCTGAAAGAGGGTCTGGGGAGTGGATTTTTTCCAATGGGAGGAGGTCAAATGGAGGTGCTTCAGGAATCTGTGAGCCCCCAAACATTATAGGAAATGTTTTGTCTTTCCTCCTTTTCCCCCTCTGTGCCTCCCTTATTTTCCTTACAGAAAGAGAAAAGTAAGGAGATTTCTGGAATATTAAAAAAAAATCTGGGAAGGTTTCTGAGCAATAGAAACCTTAGATTATTTACATTTGAGTAGAAACCATGGACAAACACTAGAATTATAGTGCTCTTGAAATAGGTTTCCACTAAGTCTTGTGTTGTTTCAGATTTCAGTTAATGTTTGTGTGTTTATTGACAGTTATTAACTATAAAAAATTATTTAAAATGAAAAGGCTTCTTATACTGTGGTAAAAAATTGGATGATTATTAGGTTACAGTGAAATTCAATCTAGTCTGTCATCATTCAAACAAATGTATAGTGTTGAGTTTAAAGCAGGCTCTCCATAAACAATTAATTTTCTTTTTACAAAATTGTATTAGGAAAACGTACTTCATAAACATTATTACCAGCTGACCTTTATTTGACTTTTAAAGAAAATGTTAATCATTAGCTCTGTACATAATTGTAAAACTGAAAAATTTGAGAATAAGAGAACTTTTTATTGTGACTAAACTATTAATATATTTTTTAAATATATTAATATTTTAAGTGCTACTAGCATGGAATTATTGTATTTCATGAATGAGATATTTAATAATACATATTTATATGGACTGTATTATGGGAGCTGGTTTTATCTCTGTACTGCATTCTTTGACTAATTAATGAATGGATACCCATATTTTATTTAAAAGTATTTCTTACATATTAACAACATAATTCTGTGCATATGAGTCTAAACAATATACTTTTTAAAATTAAGTGAGCCCGGCCGGGCGTGGTTCAGCGGTTGAGTGTCGACCTGGGATCCAGGCGATCGGGGTTCGATTCCTGGTCAGGGCACATGCTCGTGTTGTGGGCTGCAGCCGATCAATGACTCTCTCATCACTGATGTTTCTATCTCCCTCTCTCCCTCTCCTTTCCTTTCTCTGAAATCAATAAAGATATATTTTAAAAATAAATAAATTAATTAAATTAAGTGAAAAACTTATCTCCTATCAACTGTTCCATATTAGCCTGTTTCTGTTTTGAATCCCCAAAGCTACTTGTTATCTCTTTAGACTGGCAGCTGTGACAGCCATGCATCTGTCACATGTTCCAAGATAGTCTAGTACCCAGGACAAATAGATAGAACAGATTATTAGCCACAAAAACAGAAACCCAAAAAGGAGTCAGCCAGAGATTTATTTCTCCACTAAAAAAAGTTATATATTTCATAATATGCAAGCATGAAAACTATTGCATTCAAGTGTTGCAAATAAAAAAAATATTTTTAGAGAATATTGAAAGCTATTGCCAGATTAAAACCATCAGATCTCTGCCAAACTCTTTCACTTACACCAAAATAAGTTTAATGAGACTGTGTATTTCTGCATGTCTTTCTGTGTGTTTGTGTGTCTACTGTGTGGAAGATGTCTTTTGTCCGTGTATTTGTGTCTCTGTGTGCATATCTTGTCTATCAGTGATTGTGTATCTGTTGTGTCTTGGGGGCAAGATCCAGGAAGTGGGAATATAGTGGTATAAAGAAAGGATTAAATTCACTTCTATGGAATACATCTTCCATTGGGTAAGAAAAAAGAAGGGCATTTTTATTACAAACCCCCAACCTCATGGACAATAGGTGAAATAACAGAACAGTTTAATGTCTATACATTTAAAATCTTTAAAATAAAACTTTATTTTAATAGAAATGCATGTTCATTATTTTATGTTTCAAATAAACAAATCTGACTGCCCATTGATAACCACTTGAAAATATCCTTCAAGATATTTGTGTGTGTGTGTGTGTGTGTGTGTGTGTATGCACGTTTTTGCAAAATGGAATTATCCTAAAAAAACATTTTTTAGCAATATGGAATGAAATCAATAAACACTCATTCATTTTATCCCTAACACAGCATAGTTCAGGGTATGTGGAAGGCATTCAGAAAATATTTGTTAAATGTAGGAATCCTTTGTTTTGTCTGTCTTCTCCCTTTGGCATGTTTATATGTTATGAGTGTCATAGGAAGTGAAGATTTTGGCCCTTTGTTATATATGTTACAAATGATCTTTTCCCCTATTTATATTTAACTTTAATTTTCCTCTTCCAAAAGAATAGAAATAATATTTGAACACATAGTTTAATTGAATAAAAAAATATCACCTGATTTAATGCAAATGGTACTTTATTGTGACTTTTAAAGAAATAAATGCAATATATAGGAGCAAAGTGCCTCAGTAGATGTCCTACTCTATTGAAACATATAGGAATTATATATAGATACATAGAATATGCCAAAGTGCAGTGAATTTTTGAGTGAGACAGACTTGGTTCTCATCTCACTTCTGCCCCCCAGCAGCTGTGTGGTAGCTGTACATCACTTAATGCCTCTGAGCATCTGTAAACTGGGGATATCCAGGCCTCCCTCCCTGAGTTAGCGCCCAACAAATGGTCTGTCTGTGGCATTACATCCCTTGGTAGGTATTTCCAAAATGGGTACTTATTCTTAAATATGAGAACAAACTAGATGCAGATCTCCAGATCAGGCTAAGGTTCTGTGCCCCAGATTTGAAGATAACATAACAAATACTTTTTTCTGGTTTTTGCCATTATTATTTTTAAATACCTGGGTTTTGCTGTGTCATGTTTCGTACTTCTTGGAGAGAAGTTTATTTTCTCTACCAACTTTGTTGATTAAAAGCCAAGTACTTTGTGTTCTTAAGTTTTCCCTTGAAAGAATCTTGGAGTTTTAAATGGAACAAGCTACTGAACAATCCTTTAAGAATTTAAACATACTCCATTAACTTTAGTTCAGTAAAAGTAACACCATGAAATGCTTTGTCCATTGTTAATGTTCTATTTTTTAGAACATTACTGAATTAGAAATCTAACCTTACTACTGCAGGGTGTTGCCATCAATATGTAAAACATAGGAAATCTGTCAAGCTTTCTAATGTGACTGTTGTACAAAGTCTACATCTCATGGCCACTTTTATAAAGTGGTGTTTATTCAGCCTACAAATATTTACTTTAATGCTAATCTTACTTATCTGGACCCTCTACTAACACTTTTGTCCAAGCACAAAAGCTTTATTATTTTTATGTACTTAATTGTAGATCTTTGGGGGGGAATCAGGTTTATAAATATTAATTTTCTTGGCAATTGACCTGCTATTTTCTTGCTAAATAGAAGATTCTTCCTTGTTTAGCCCAGGTCAGAGTATCACAAATTTTGATTTAATTAAGTAGAGTTGAAGCTCAATGCTAATATGTTGCATGTTGCCAGAATAGAAATAGTTCATGATGATTTATTTGTTATTCAAAATTATGGAGTAAAAATATTTTTATTGAAAAACAACTAATTATTTTTGTTAGAACAACTATTAGTTTATTTTCCCATTACCTAACATATTGCAAGCCGTTTTGAGAAAAAAGCCACAGGAAGAAACATGTGGAAACTATGTTAAAGTCTTTCAAGCTTCCCTTCAATAAGACAGTGATTAACTGTGCCCCTCTGGCTGCTAGCCTGATAGGGCAAGAAACTGACCTTGACTCAAAAGAATCAATGCAATAACCTCAAGTTTCTGCTTTATATCAAGATACCAAGTGACCTAGGAATTAGAATTCTAAAATTGTAGGATTGCAGGGTTATAAAGGGCTTTAAAGTCAGAACTCACTGATAAAGAAATTGGGAAACAGTGAGTGA